TTAATATAAAATAATAATTATTTTATATATAGAATCTATTTAATACAAATATAAGAACCTATTCTAATAAAAATAATTTAATTTTAGTAAATAGATAGCTTCAAACTTAAAAATTAATAACATTTAAATAACTATATTTTTAAATGAACTATTTTAAAATAAAGAATATATAAATAAAAATATTTTAGACTATTATATATTAATTTTTAGATTATAAAATTTAATAGTATAAAAGTTGAATAAATATATATATATATGTATAAAACAATTTTCACTTTTATAATTTTATAAAAAATACTCGTTATATTAATTATTTTATGTATTTATAATTTTCATTATTAATTTGCATTTTAATTTCTAATTATCTAATATTTATAACTTACAAAATAAGGTACACTTTTTTATTATTTATTTCTATTAGATTATGTTGTATGCGGTTAAAAATAAAAAGAACTATTGTTACTATTTATGTATTATTAAATACTTAAAGGAGTAATATTTCTTTTTTGTTTTTATAATTAGGATAATTTTTTAAATAGGACTATATGTATATTATATTTATTTTAATTTTTATCTTATTTATTCATTTCTTTCTTATATTGTTTTAATTTATTCATCATTTATTATATTTCTTGGGGATAATAATTTTAACAAACCTATATTTTGATTTGTTTAAATTTAATTTTCGGAAAATATATCATTTATGGAATTTGGATTTAATGTTATTATCCTTTCGTTTTAACATTTTGCTTATAAAATCAAATAATTATTTTATGAAAAATCACTACTTTCTTAAATTATTTCTGACATATCTTCATTATTTTCACCATTTGCTTAATTTAATTATTATTATTTATAATTGTAAAGCTTTAATTCTAAAATTTTACTTGGCATAATTATATATTATTTATATTTTATAAGATTATTAGTTTAAATTTTTTTATTTTTTTAAATAAAGTTGTTAAATGTATTTTTTTTGTTAATAGAAAATTATTTAAAGTATAAATATTTTATATATATTATTATTTTTTTAAGGAATTCATAAAATTAATTTAAATATAAAATGAAAATATTGCCTAAAGAAATATTAAAAATAAAGTTTATATAAAAAATAATATAAATATTATTTATTTTTATTATTTTAACATTTATATATTTTATCAAAATAAATAAATTCATCTTAAATCATATCACCATTATCATTTATTATAATTCTATATTTGAAAACTATAATATAATATGCTATTTTATATTTAAAAGATTAAAAGATAAATTATTTCTTAACAATTATTTTCTTTATTTCATAAAAGATTTAAAAATTAATATAAAAGTCTACAAAAGATTTCGTTAATTTTACTAAATATCTAAACTTATTTTATAAGTAATATGATAAATATAATTTTTTAAAAACTTTTTTTTTTCTCTCTTATTATTAATTATAGTAAAATTAAATTAATCTTTATCAAAATTTTAATTTTATTTGGAAAATTCAATTTAATATTATTATTATATTAAATCATATTTGTAATCTTAAATATTATTATTTATCTGAAAAAATTATTTTGGTATTATTTTTTAACTAAATTACTTTAAATCTTTTGAATTTTATTGTATTTAATTTTTCTGGCTTAAAATACTAAATTAAAAAATATATTGTATTTATATTTTTTTTTACACTTAAAAGACTTCTTTTACGGCTGCTTGAGATAGTCCAAATCATTAATTTATATTTAGTAAAAAATTTAATATTATTTTTCCTTTTTATAATAATAATAGTTTGTCTTAAACAAATATAAATTCATTATTTATAGATTAGTAATTTTAATTTTAGAAATAAATCTAAAATAACTTATATATATATAGATAAATATAAATTAATTAATTCTTTATATTTAATATCATTTATTGATAATGTTGCTTCTTATTTTTTAGAAAAATAATAATAATTTTTAATATTTTATTACTTAAATATAAACAATATTTAGTTTGCTTTATGCTTTTATTTCAAAGAAAGCCTTTATTAATTAATTTAATGCTATTTTTTCTTTTTTTATTAATTATGAGTATTTTTTCGACTTTAATTACTAGTTTATTAGTTTGCATATAGTCAATTAATTTGAATATTTAAGTATATACTAAAGTTAAAAACAAATAAAAAATTATCCAATTAAATCTTTTTTGAAATAAAACTTTTTAGTTTATCTAATACTTCATAACAAAAACTTTAATTATGATTTACTGATTGCTTAATTTGAAATTCAAACATTTTAAAGAGTTAAAATTTTTCAAATATCTAAGAGTATATATATTCTATTATGTGAAATATTAAAATATTAAATCTATCATGATTATAAAGTCTATATAATTTATTATAAAAAAGATTCAGTCTTTTTAATTGCCTGGATTAAATTTTTAATTTACTTATATAATTATAAGTAATAACAATAACTTCTATAATTGCATAATCAAATAATTATTAATGATGTCTTAACTAATGATTTTTTAAATTTATATATATTTTTTTTATTATTTAATTTATTTCTATTGAAAAAACTTATTTTGCTATTTTATAATTTTAGTCTGAATCGTCTTATTATATATGTTCGACATCTAATTATATAATTATTATACTTTGGCACAATCTACCTATAATTAATTTGGTTAGATAGAGATAATAAAATTTTTTTTTTAATTTGATTTTTTAATTATAATTATATATATTAAGTGTTTATTTTATAAAATTTTATAATTTTTTATGAATTTAAAAATACATATTATAAATATATATTTTTAAATAATTTAATTATATTTATTTATAATAAAAATGAATATCAGATATATTTTTATAAAATAAATAGTTTTATTTATAAATGGATCAAGAATAGATAATAATATATATTATTTTATTAATTATTATATAAATCATATTATATTTTTTGATAAATTATATTTTTATCAATAATTATTATTAAACAATTAAATATTATATTATTAATATTTGTAATTTTTAAGCATTTACGATATTATTATATATTTATAAAAATGGATTAAGTATTATAAACCTAATAAGACCAACTTAATTAAAATGAATATAACTAACTTAACTAAAATGAATAAAATCAAGAAGATATTATATAAGTATAAGGATTTATATATTTTTGGGGTTTAAATACTGAATTATCTTTATATCCTTCAAACAACGAAGAAATAATAATCCCATAAAAAATATAAACATAAACTTAATTTATTTAAATTTCCTCAGGAGGAAATTTTTGTGCAGCAATAAGTACTGATAAGTGTCTTTATACATGGGGATTTAATAAAAATTATAGAAATGGATAATCAGAATAAGTTAGTTTGCCTTAAAAAATTTCAAATTTATAAAATATTATTTCTGTATCATGTGGTAATTGGCATACTCTTGCAATTAATTCCGATTTCTAAGTATTTATTTACATTATTTTTTATAAAAAAATAAAATAAAAAAAAAGCTTTATGTCGTAGGACATAATAAATACGGAGCATGTGGATTAGAAAAATAGGATGAAATTAATTCATTTACATTAAATACTAGTATTTAAGACACAAAGATAACTCAAATAAGTGCCGGAGATGGCTTTTCATTATTTTTAGATGATAAAAAATAAATAAGTTCATGTGGTTTTCGATTAAGGCATGGAAATATGGAAAACAAACATTAATTTAAAATTCAAAGAATAGAAGTTCTCTAAAATATACCTATAAAATATATAAATGCTGGCTTTTCTCATGCTGCTTGCATATAAGATTAAACAGGGGAAGTTTTTACATGGGGAAATGGATTTTTTTGTATTTTTATTATAATTTTTTTACATTTTTAATATTCTTATATTAAAAAAAAAATAGATTAATTAGGTCATGGTAGTAAGTAAAGCTTGAAAACAGCTAAAAAAATAAAAGGATTAAATAGAATAAAAAATATTTCATGCTCAAGAGGAGAAAAGTATTGTCATACAATTTGTGTTAATGAGGATAATGAAGTATTTAGTTGGGGAAGTGGATATAAAGGAAAATTAGGTCATTATAAAGAATGGACTCATGAAAATCAAAATGATGAAAAAATACCGAAAAAAATTGTTAATTTTAAAACTAACGGAGCTGATTTAGCAGTTGCAGGAGGTATTCATTCTGGTATCTTAGGTTTAGATAAAAATTTGTATACTTTTGGTTGTGGTTCAAATGGTAGATTAGGACATAAAAAATATTAAAATTATGTTTATTTATATAGAGAAGGTATCCCAAAAGCTATTCAAGGTATTAAAGGAAAAAATTGCTTTGATATAGCTTCTAGTTATTATTATATGATTGCTTTATGTAAAGAATGAATATCGTGTATTTTTTTATTTATTTTGTATTAAATAAAATACTAATTATTAGTAATAGTAAAAATTTTAAAATATTTATTTCTAATTTTATTTTAATTTAATTAAGCAATATTTTATTTTTTATATTTTTACAATAAATTATAAACATCATTTTTTTAAAAGTTAACGTAAATTTAAAAAGTATATACTATTTACATTCTAGGTTGTTAAAACATAAAATATTAAAAAAACAATTATATTTATATATATATATATAAACTTAAGCTAAAAAACAAAAACATCATTTACCTTAATCAACAGTTTTATTTTTTTTTCTTATAGCCCCTATTTTATCAGTACTTATTTACATCAGGAAATTCTTAACTTCTTATTAATTTTATCTAACACTATCATAATACGGATTATTGCCTCTAGCATCTTTAAAAGTACAGCTAGCTCCATGAGCTACAAGATATTTAACAACATCTATATTTCCTTAAGAAGCTGCTAAATGTAAAGCAGTTCTTCCATCATAATCATAGCAATCAATTTTAATTCCCTATACAAGCATAGATTTGATTAATAATAAATCATTTTCAGCAGCCGCGTATAGTAATCTATATTTATCATCGTTAAAAGGATCTCCTTAAACAATCTAATATTCTTTCTATTCATTACCATATTTTGCACCTTTAGATTCTAAATATTCAGTAATTTCTTTTTTTGAAGCATCATTTAAAGGAGTAGCACCCCACCTATCTTTGCAATTGAAATCAACTCCCTTTTCTACTAAGTATTTTACTATATCAAAATAACCACTACTAGCAGCTAAATGAAGAGGAGTTCTATTATCATAATCTCCTTAATCTAAAGATACGCAAATATTACTTAAACGATTTAAGCCTTCTAAATCTCCTATTGAAGCACATGAACAGGCTGCTATTGTTGTTTAGATTGTGGTTTAAAAAGATTTCTTTGTAACGTCTTTCTTTTCTATTTCTTTATGGAAAAGATTAAAGTTGTTATATATTTCGTTTAGTTTTTGAATAATTCCGATTGCTCTGACTGAATTTCCTTCCTTGTTTAAGCGGGGGGACCAACTTGCAAAAGCTCCTATACCAGGAATTATTGTTAATAAACCTCCAGAAACTCCACTTTTGGATGGAACTCCGAAGTTTTTAGTGAATTTTCCAGCTCCATTATACATTCCGCATGTTGTCATGAAAGTTACACAAGCTTTAATAGTTATAGGAGATAAAACTCTTTTTCCATTGAAAGGATTAATACCATTATTAGCACACATGGCTCCGAAATTGGCTAAAGAACGCACATCAACTAATAAAGAACATAATTTAAAATATAAATCAAGCGCATCGTCTGCGAAATTTTTTTGTTCTTTTGCATTTGCCTTTTTAGGGAAAGCTCCGTTTGCTAACATTAAAGAAGTAAGTGCATGATTTGTATATCCAGTAAGTTTTTCATCTTAATAAAGTTCTTCATCAATTACAGGTATATAATTACTTGCTTCTTCATAAAAATTAATTATATGCTAAATATTTTTATTATGATGCCTTAGAAGTGCACAAACCATAATTGCGCCTGTATTAATCATTGGATTATGTGGTCTACCTAAATCATCGAATATAGGTGCATTGAATTTTTAACCAGAAGGCTCTTCGCCAACATATTTATGTACTTCTTCCCCTATTAATTCATATAAATAAGCATAAGAAACTACTTTTCCAATTGATTAAATGGAAAATTTTTAATCGATATCTCCAAATTAGACAAATTATCCGTCTGTTGAACAAAAACTGGTTGCGAAATATTCTGGATTTACTTTTTCTAAAGGAGCAATGTAGTCTGCTACTTTACCTTCGTTATATTAGGGGTCGGCAAGCACTTTTTGATAACAATCTTTAAAGTTTTAACAAAAACGAAAAAATGAAGGTAATACAAGGTCTGATTCAAGAACTCTTTTGAAAAAATGTTAGCCTATAATCATTTCCTTGAATCTATTTATAGTTATGTGTTCTGTTTCATCTATTTGATTAAGTTATTGTAGTAGTTTACTTAATGATTTATGACTTTCTACCCCTTAATATATTATCATTTCTAATATTTCTCGTTTATGTAAATATCCTTTTTTTCAGTGTCTAATATTTTAAATGTACGGTCTATCCATTGAAGCTTTACAGGAAGTAATAAGGGTGAATCTGGGTGTTATTCCATTTTTTTTTCTATTTTAATTTTTTTTTTTTTAATTAAATTATAATTTTTATATTTTATAATACTTTTTTATGATGTTAATAATATTTGCGTTTAACTAAAAAATTATAAATATCTATATTATTTTAAGAAGAAATTAATAAAAAAACTTAAATTATGACGTATATATTATTTTTATAAATTTCTTCATTCAAATTTTCGATTAAGGAAAGGATTTAAATAAAGAAATATATAAAAAATTATATATATTAAAAAAAACATAGCGAAAAAAAATAATAATTGATAAGTATTTTTACTTTTGAGAAATAATAAAGTTTTTAAAAGAAAATATGGAATTTATAATTTTCTATTAATTTAAGAGAATAAAAAATAACATTATCTTATAAATATTAAGATATAAATAATAAATGAATATTATAATTTTTTTATTTTAAAATAAAATATATATGAGAATCAATATTATTAAAAAAAATTAAGTAATTTTATTATATATAAATATTAAATAATTAATAAAATTAAAATATAAATATATATTATATTTAATATATATATATATAATTAAATTAATTTTTATATATATTTTACTATTCATTTAGACTTTTAGATTTTTTCTTTATTTTTAAATCTTATATTTTTTTTAATGTTTTACGTAAATTTAATCAATATTATAATTAGAAATATAATATCTAATATTTTTATAATAATATAACTTTAAAATTAATATATTTAATAGAAAAATATTAATATTTTAGATTCTATGATATATAAGAAAAAACCAAATAATAATTAATTTTGATTATATTATAAAACGAAAATAAATAAAATAAAAGCATAAATGATTAATAAAAAATAAATGCTTAATTTATATATAAAAAATTAAAAATTCTTGTAAAATAGAATAATAAACATTATATTTTATTTAAAAAAAAATTATCAAATAATTTGACAACTATCTTATAGTTTACAGCATTAATTATTTTTAATATTTTAAATACTTGTAGTAGCAACATTATCATTATAAGTAGTTTTATTTAAAGTAAATTCATTTTATGAAGTTTCAAAATCCTAGCTTTTGCTAAAGTTAAAAAACTAAGTAGAATTATTATCAATTGTAAGATAGCTATTATAAACATAACTATGGTTTTCATGATTATATTATTATTAATTATTAATTATTATATTATTTTTATTTTCATTTATATTATTATTATTATTAAAACTTATATTAATATTATCCTAAATATCTTAAAGAGGATCTGCGCGAGTTTAATTTGGATAAGAATATTCGAAATCACTTGTACCTCCATGTATTTTTAATAAAGAAGAAGCATCGAAATGTTATTAAAGCTGTTCTAAATTTTCTAAAAAAATAATTTTTTAGCGCACTTTTTCAGCTAATAGTGGTTTAAAAATATTATAAAAAGACTACATTAAATAATTTGAATGTAAAATATATGCAAAACCTAATCTTTCCGCATAGTTATCTTAAAACATATTTACTAAATATTTAATTTAAGTTATAAATGTTATATCGAAATTTTTTATTGAAAAACCTTCTCGGTCCCAAATCACACTAAGTTTTTTAGTCCCGCTTTTTTCAGCCATATTAATCCCTATATCCATTAAAAAAGAGAAAAATTTTACAATTTTTTCTGTTGTAGTTTCCGATGCTATGTGATATTTTAATCTTACTATACAACAAGGATTTCCCTTTTTATCGTATTTGTGCCAAAAGGCTTTCCCAGAAATTAATTCAGATTCTATTTCATTGACTTTTATGTTATCTATGTTAAAATCTAGACGCCATTGGACCCATTTTTACCACATTTTTTAAGATTTTTATATGTCAAAATCTCTGGCAATTAATATTCGATATAATGCGGATGTTTCAGTTATTTTTTAAATATTTAGATGCTTATATTTGTCTGTTTGGGAAATTTCTGTATTTAATAATTACTGAAATTCTACTAGTTTAATGTATTTTGAGTTGGGGATTTGAGTTTATATTTTAATTATGTCATTTTCTTGTTCTTGATTTTTTTTTAGGGATTAATCTGTTTCCATTTTTTATTTTTTTGATTTCAAATAAAATAAAAATAATTAATTTGTTATAAATGTAATGCAATATAAAATATTATTTTTAATTGGAATAATATTTTTAGTTTTTTTTTTCTTCATAAAAATATATTTTAATATATATTATTTATATAATTTATAATCAATATTCTTAAAATAAAAAATAATAATAAAAAAATGAATCGAATTTTAAAATTAAAATAAATAAATAATATCTCACTTTAAAAATTTAAGTTCAGTGGTTGCAATAAAAACAAAAATAAAGAAACTTAATAATTAAAACATCCCTAAGATCCAACAATGGCTGAGTTTTTCGGAAGAAAGCCGACCATTGAGGAAATCTAAAAACTATTATCACCCGCAGGATTTTTAAGTGAATTACAATATAAAGACTATGAAGGTATTAATTAGAAAGGCTAATTTGAAAAAGTGGTAGTATAAAAAGAAGTAGAATAAAATTAAAAACAGTAATAAGAAAAACTTTTCAAATTTAATAAAGATGAGTATTTAGTTAAAGATTTAAACTAATGGGGGATGCCAAAGGAAATCGGATTTAAAGTCAAAGGACCAGAACCAACAAGATTTGGAGATTGGGAAAGAAAAGGAAGATGTACAGATTTTTGAAAAACTTAATTATTTATTTTATAAATATTATTATTAATATAATTATTTTTGTATATTAATTAATATTTAATATTACTTTTTATGAAAGTCTTTTTTATTTTTGTTAAAAAACTTAATTGACAAAATAAAGATAAATAAAAATAGATTTTTATATTTTTTTTGTATTTAGATTTGAAAAAATAAAGTATAGAATAAATAAATATATATATATGTATTTATAATAAGAATAATATACTTTTAAATAAATAAATTATCTGTATTTTTTGAATATTGTAAATAATTTTTTTATATTTTTCCCTTTTTGTAGTCATTTTAAGTAATTAAAATTAAATAGATATAAAAAAAATAATAAAAAATAAATTCTGAAATTTATAAGAAAAGTAAAGAAATTTCTTAAATAAAATATATATACATTAATTATAAAATGATAACAAGAAAAAAAAAATATGTAAAAACAAAAGAAATATATTAAAAAAAAAAACATAATATATATAAAACAATAGTAATATTTTTCTAATTAGTATTAAATATTTATATTTATTTATTATAAAACAATAGAACAAAATCTATTAATAATATAGTATATTTAATTAATAAGTAAACATCATTTACTCTAAAATTAATTAAGTACATAAAATACAGTCTCTCTATCTTTATTAAGTTTATTTTAAGCTATATAATTTTCAAGTCTAGCTTTAGTAAATAGTAGATTATCCTTAAAAGTAAATACTTTTTTTGCAATTTTATTCTTAATAATAGAATCAAACTAATCATATATAAGATCATTATAATTAAATGATTTTTATTTCAGAATTCTTCCATCAATAACTTAATAATTATCTAATTCTCTATTAACTGAAAGATGACTTAATCTAAAAGGAATTTTTATAGAATTTTTAAATTATTAAAAATATGCCGTATTTAAAATTCTTAAAGGATTAGCATCTGTTTATTCAAAAGCTACTTTTTTTTATTTAATATTTAACCTAATATTTTTATTCGCTTCAATTTTATTATTGAGATCTCCTAAATAAAATTTCCTTTATTAATTTTTAATAATTTTACCATCATCATCTTGTAAATTTTTATACCTTTTATCTCTAAAGTTACTTTCTTTTTAATGAAAATAATTATTTTATTCATCATCTGAATCAGAAGAAATGCAATAGAGGCCATCTTAATACATATCTAGTTTGTTCTTTTTAAATATATTAACCTTTTTATTTGTTAATTCGTCTATTTATTTAATTTAATTTTCAATCTTAGAAATACTTAATCTTTTAGCCTCCGTAAATGTTCCATCAGTATCACCATTAAGCATTTTTTAATGATATAAATTAGCCATATCAAGTTTTCCTTAATAAAAATATTAAATTCCTATATAATCATATGCAACAAGTTCTTTTTCTTCGCTTTTAATAAACCAAGCGTATTTAAGAAATTTATAAAAGTAATTGAGAGCAAATTCATACATTTTTAATTTTGAAAAGCAGATTCCTAAGTTTTTATATATACTACTTCTATAGTTAAATAGAAGAGGAATTTATGCTATTTCCTTTGCTTCTTTATATTATAATATTGCTTATTGGTAATTTTTATTCAATAAGTTTATTTTTGCGTATGTTTTTATCACATATAATTATAATAGTATATTTTTTCCTTCTGAACTTTCCTTTTTTATTTAATTAAATATCTCATCAAGTTAATTTCGGTTATAAATATCTTTCTAGTCTATGTTTAATAAAGGAATTAATTTTTATATTTAATCTATTGTTTATTCACATATATTATTTAATGTTTAAGAACGAATTTCGTCTCCTTTTTCAGATTAAACTTTAATTATTTTATTTATTTTTAATGCTTCATATTTTATAAATTTTATTAAATTTTAACAGTGTTTTAGCTTTTTTTTATTTTCATTTATTTCTTCTGAGTATTTTTATTTAAAAAGATTAAAATCTCCATAAATATTATACTATTATTGACTATTATTTCTTAATGTTTCATTATTGGTACTTTTGCTTACTTTTTTTATTAGTTAATTGAAAATATTTCTTTGTTTTTAATTTTTTGTTTTTCTTCTTCATTTTTTTAGATTTTAATGTCTACAAAAGAGTCTTGTTTTTGAATTAAATATAACATTTTTTTACTCATACAAGATGTTTATATACTATATATTGAGGCTTTTTTAATTTACTCTTTTTATTCAACTAAGTTTATCCTTAATTTATTATTTTATTAATTTTCAATAATTATTTGAGGCATACTTTTTTATTACAAATGCATTGATTTATATTATTTCTATTTATAATTGCTTAAACTTAAATTTTAAATAGTACTCTTATTAATATTTAGTTAATTTTAATTATTTAATTATGAAATTGAGTTATCTTTAGTAGAACAATTATTGTTAGGTTTTATTGGTAATAATAGAATATTTTTATTTTTATTAGAAGTTTAATTTAATTATTTTTATATAACATTTTTCTTTGAATTTTATTAATTTTTTAAATATTTTACTAATTAGTTATTATTTTTTATTATAGAGTTAATTTAATGACTATAGTTAATTTTATTTGTTAAAAACAAAGATGATGACATTTTTTTTGATGTTAATAACTTCATTTAGTTTTATATTTAATTATAATTTTCATTTTTTTATATTATCATATTTATGTCTTAAAATTAATTTTTTTCCATTTTTTTTATTGTATTTTTTTTAATAATGTTTTTTATATTAAAAAAAAACAAAATATTTTATATAGAATATTATTAAAATTTTATATGAATAATAATAAATATCTAGCATAAAAAATATATTATTTATTATAAATTTAATTGAAAAAATTATTATTTAAAAAATAAAACATATATATTTATAACATATATATACAAATAAATCATTATTTTTTTTAAAAAAAATGTGAATTATAATAATTTATTTAAAATAATTAATAATATTCTAATATTCTTTTAATACTTAAATGATAAAAAAAATCAATTTTAAATACTATTATTTTAATAACTTGATTGATTACTATCTATACCTTAACTAAAAATAGTAAATCGTTTATTATTTACAAAATTAAAACCATTATTATCGACATCTTTTGAAATCATAAGAAAATCACTTTTATTTTAATTACAAAATTAATTAAATTAACTATTTTTATTTTAATTAATATTATTTTGAGAAATACAATTTGAATTAATTTAAAATATAGAATTTTATGGATTTTTAATTTAAGACTTATTGCATATATTAGGTTAAAATTAATCTAAGTCAGAAAGCCTAATATCAGTATTTGAGTTAATCACTGATGTATCAAATATTTATTATGTTTATCTTAAATTAATATTTAAATTTTAATAAATCAAATCTTAATCTTAATCATAATTATTTATATTTTATTATGAAAACAATTTCATATTTTATTAATTATTCTCATCTTATTGCTTTTTCTCTTCTTCTTATATTTATGAATTTTACTCTTTTTCTGGAAATTCATCTGATTCTGTTTATGATTAATCAGTATTGCTATATTATTCATTTTAGATTTAATCTTTTTTTTAATTATTATTTTATTTCATATAATTTTCGCTAATAAGTTTATTTTAAATTAAATAATTTAAAAATTATTCCATTATATCTTCTTGAAAATCTAATTTTTTGCATTCTTTTTTTACTTTTAAAAGCATTTATTTATTATATCTATCAACTATGTTAAGTAATTGAAAAGTTCCTAATTATTGAAATATCTAAGAACTTAATTATGTTTAAAAATTTTTATCTTTAAATTTTTTATATAATTAATTTGCTATAAATTATATTTATTATTCAGTACTAATTTATTTCTTTAAATATTTTTTTTTATTAAAAACAAAAAAAACAAAAAAAGAAATTATTTTAATAAATATTTATATATATACTAAACCAAAATTGCCATAATATACACATATGTATTCAAGCTAATTATTTATAAATATTTTTTCAAATTCTAATGCACAATTATTACTTTTTCTTAATAAAAAAATATATAAATTATCAATAATAAATACGTAATATTTCTAGATATAGCTATTGCAAAAGCATCAATAATCTCTATTAATTTAATTCTTTTAGGTAGAATCAATACTATTTATTTTCCTATTTTTAAAGCTTAGTTTAAAATTACATTTATATCAGGTTATAAATTTTATAATGAATAAATTTATGAATCTTTATTTCTTACTCTAAAAATAGGTGCTTTATAAAATTAATATAATAAAAAATTTTACAAACAAAAAAATTTAATATAATAAACCTATAAATACAGTATCAACCTCTGTCTAATTTTAATTAATAAAATCTTCATTTATAAAATCTATTTTATGTCTAAAATTACAAATTTCAGCATTATATTAGGCACATTAAATTCTAATTGGATTATTTTCATTAGCTATAACATAGTTTATATATTTACTAAATAAAATACTAAATTAACCTACACCACAATAAGCATCTAAAACAACCTTTGTTGAGAGGCTTATTTTTTCGACTATATTTTAAGCAATAATTTCTGGTATTAAATATTACCAACTTTATGAATCAATTTAAATACCTAACTCGAAATTTGAAAAATATACATTTTATCTTTCTTTGTATTTATTATTTTCCGAAAATTAATCATTATTGCATTTATATTTATAATAAATAGGAATTTCGTAATTTTTTTAAGTTATATAAGCAATTATTTAAAGGTTATTACCGCATTAAAACATATTATTTATTTAATAATTCGATATATCATACATATAATTGTGTGTAATACATGAATTCGATAAATAATTATTATCTAAATCGTTATTAAAGTTATTCGATTATAGAGAACTTTAAGGTAAAGTTAAAAAATCATCATCTGAATATTTACTAATTGCTTGTTTATTGAAATTATTCTATTTTTTTTTATTTATTTTTTTATTTATTTTTTTGGGTTATTTAATAGCTTTTTTTTACATAATCTTAATTATGCTTATTTATATTCTGTTTCTTTTTATTTTTTTACGATGCCAATGAAAATTTTTGCTATTAAATTTAATTTTATTTATTTAGTTATAAAGAAATATTATTTATGTTTTAATATTAGGAATTATCTACTTCTTTATCGCCACAACATAGTAAACTTGCAAGCTTATCAAATATAATTTTTTTATTCATTGTTTTTTTATTATTATATGCTTTTATTATTTTTAGCTTTTTTTGTTTATTTGTGATAAAATTTGAGTTTTTCTAATTTATTTATTTTATATTACAAGTTTTTATATAAAAATTAATTGTGTTAATTAAGAATATTTAATAATTAATTTTTATTGAAAATTATTTATCATTTATTTTACTAATTATTAAATTTTTATTTTATTTATAATTTTTTTTTATTATTTTAATTTATAATTAAAATAAAAACAAAAGTTAATTATATACCAAAGAAACTGCAAATCATTTATATTTAATGATTAATAAATTATATATAATCCATTAATAAATTATTTAAATAATAATATTTTATATAATTTCTATTTTTTTAATTATAATACAAATTTATTTTAACTAATATAAGAGAAAATAAATTTTTATATTGTAAAATTTATATTTACATTTTTTCTTTTTCTTTTTTTTAGACACAAAAATAATTTTTTCATTATTAAATTTATATTTCATCTTTTTTATTTATTTTATACTACTTTATTTAAACTTATTAATTTATTTATTTAATTATATTTTTAAGCGTTATAATAATTTAATTATAATTAATATCTTAAGTTTATAAAATATTAAATTTTTTGTTTTATTTTTCATTCAAAATACTATAAATATGTGCTTCTTTTATATTTCTTTATTAATTTAATTATTAAATTTTATCTATTATATATTTTTCATTTCCTATAAAAATATATATAAAATGTAATAAATTTTTTTATTTTTATTTATAACCTAATAAGTTTATAAGTTCATAATCTTATATATTTGAAGTTATTTACAAACTATTTTAAATTAATAAATGATATTTTTGTATATTATTATCATATATAATCAGAATTATATTTTTCTTGTTTTCTTATTCATTTGTTTTATGAGTTATTTTATTAAATTTTTCTTAACAACTTTATTTTTAATTCATAGAATTATTATTACCAGCAATTATAGGCATTTGAAATGGTTTAGGTGCTATCATTTATTATTCTTAGTAAAATCCCGAATCAATTAACGTATTATATGTATTAATTTAAGGATGATTTTTAAAGTAAAAAACCTAAAAGAAATATAATTATATAAAATAATAGAATTTTTTTTAAATAAAAAACTTATAAATACTTGTATATATAAGAAAAATATTATTTTAACTAAGTAAATAAATATAATTTTTAAATTATATATTAATTTATAAAATATTACATTTTAAATGCTTTATTGTTCATTTTTTTCTTGCATAAAAATGTTTTTCATTTTTAATATTTCTTTTATTTAAATATTATTTTAATTAGAAATTTCATTAAAATCATTATCTTTTTTCATTTTTAAAGCACATAAATTATTATTTAAGGCTTTACTATTATTTTTATTAAGAAAAAGATAAAAAAATTAAAGAATAATTTATTTTTTTGTTTAAATAAAATTAAGAATAAAATTTTTTTTTTTTTTTTGTACTTTTTGGCTATTGTTTTATTAATTTTGTCTGCTTCTTATAATTTAGATTATATTGTGTTAATACTTTATGAAATATTTTTATTCTGAGATTAAATTTTTAAATCGTTTTATTATATATTTTTAATGAAATTATTTTAAATAATGTCCTTTTTTTATATATTTTGTTAGAAAAAAATAAAGTAATAATATATACTTTTTGAATAAATAAATTCTAATTATATATGCGCTTCTAAGACTCTTTTTTTACATTTTTTTTTATTTTATTATATATTTCAAATTATTTTGGGAAATTTATGAGTATTTATTTTTATATAAAATTTTAAGTTGATTTTTTTATTTAAGCAATGAATGTTTAATAAATATAAAATTAAAAATCAATATAATAATTTTTTTATAAAATATTAATATAATTTGTAATACTTTTATTTAAATTTAAAAATATCAATTTATTTTTATATATTAATTAAAAAATATCATATTAATTTAATTATTAAAGTTAAATAATTTTTTATATTAAATAATTATAAATTAAGCACTAAATATATTTATTAAAAACTTTACTCATCAATAGAAATCTTTAAATATTAAAAAAACTTAAATAAATTAAAATAAAATGACTGAAATAAGTATAAAATTCTATAACACAGAAAATATCCACTTCGAAGAGTAGTCAAAGGCATCTTAAGTAGTAAAAAACGACTTCCAAAATTACTTGATAAAAAATGACCCTCATCATATTGATATCCTTGAAAATAAAAACTAAATATTATGTACAATTATATGCGACAAAGCAGATTTTCAATATAATTAAAATGAAAAGTATACATATTAAAACAGTTATTTATTTATATTAATTTAAAAATAAAATAGAAAGCTTTAGATATTTTATAAAGACAAAAAAGATAAAGAGCCTTAATTAGCTTTAGAAATATAATCATATTCTTAATCTATATTAAAGGAAATAATAGAAAATGTAAATTAAATTAAGAAATATTAATATCTATAATTATATTTTCAATAATTTAATAATCATTTAATTATTAGATTAGTGAAAGAAAAATTTATACAAAATATAAAGGGCCACTTTCTTACGTTCCTTCAAGATTATAAAGAACATCTTTATTGAGTTCTGAGTCTCCAGAGTAAAATTATAGAGGCTTTATGAATGCAGCAGGTCTTGTATTGTTCATAAACAATATTAGATAAATAGTCTAAAATTTAAAAGAATATGGATTATAGCTAAATAATATAGTAATTTTTAATTTATTTATAATTTAATGAAATAAAATTCATAAATATTACTGATAAATAAAAAATATATTAATATATAATTTTTAGTCTAAAATTCAATTTTTCATTAATTTTAATTATATATTAAAAATAAATAATAATATTATTTTAATTATATAAAATTATATATTATTATCTTTATTTAATAAATAATCAATATACTAAAAAAATTATATATAGTATAAACAACCTTGGGATTATATAGATAAACATTTTGCTTTCATGATTTTAATTTAATTTTTTTTTATTGGAGTAACTTTTTTAATTCAGAAAGCTGTTTTTAGCTCTAATATAGGTCCTCAATTTGTAAAAATAAAAAAAATAAAGCATTTTTATAAAAATTTAATGTAGGCAAGATTTTTGAATATTATTAATCTAAGCTTATAATTTTTGTCACCTGTTATTTACAAAAAATATTTTGAAATTCACTTTATACCAAGTGTGTTTTTAATTGGATTTAATATTGTTGTTTTTTTGAAATTAATCAGTTATTCACATGTAATGAGAGATATATTTTTTTTAATCAAAAGAGTTTAAAAATATGAAAAATAATCAAATAAAAAAAATGTTTCTTTAAGTGATGTAATAACAGAAGCTGAATCTTCATCTGATGTAAATTAATTATAATTTTATTTTTTTATGTATATATGTTACTTCATTTTTTTTATTTTTGTTTGTTTTCAGAATTTGGAGTTAATAAGAAAAAATTGTAATAAACTTGAAAATATTGTTGAGTTAAAAAATTTAATTTTCTTTTTTGCTGCACCAACATTGTGCTTTTAATTAATTTATCCGAGAACTTAAGCAATAAGAAAACTTTGGCTTTTAAAAAGATGCATTGAACTTATATTAATAATAGCTCTTTAAACGTAATACATATTTTAAAAAATAAATAAATAAAATAAAAAAAGGATATTATGGTTTTAATATTTACATCCAGCTTTATAAGAAACATATGAATTATCAAAAGATCCTAATAATATTACATTTTTATTTATTTTAGAAAGAATGTTAAAATTATCTATTCCTAATCTATACTTTTGGATAAGTGGTTTTTATGGAATGTTTTAACTTTTTTAAATATAACTTCTGAATTAATAAGATACGGTGATAGATAATTCTATTTAGTAAAATCATATATTTTTAAATACTATTTTTAATGAGCAATTTGTTTTAATTTTAATCAATAAAAAAAAAATAAAAAAAAAGGATTGGTGGAATTGTAGAGATTTAGAATAATACTGGAGATAATGGAATTTACCTGTTCATCATTGGTGCGTAAGACATTTTTATAATCCTTTACTTAAAAGGGGAACAAGTAAATTACTTGCTAATATATTAGTTTTCACTTTTTCCGCTTTATTGCATGAGTGGATTATTAGCGCTGCTTTGGGTGTTGTAGGATATCATGCATTTTTAGGAATGTGCTTATAAGCACCTGTTATTTACATATAAAAAAATTTAACTAAAGTAATTTTTTTGTTATATTATTTATTTGGTTTATTATATTTTTTTCAAGATTTTAAGGCTTGAAAATTCTTAATTAGGCAATTTAATGTTTTGGATTAGTTTCTGTTTTATTGGATAACCACTTTCAGCTGTTATTTATTATAATATTTATAGAAATGTGTATGGTTGAAAGTTAAATATAATTTATATTTTTTTATTATAAATATGATAATTTTAATGTGAGAATTTTTTTGTTGCAAAATAATAAATTTTAATCTTATTTTTTTTTTTTTTTACCATATTAATCTTAATAAATATACAAAATAAAAATGAAAATATATTCTTTAAAAAATATATATATAAAAATAAACAAATTTAATTTCCTTAAAGAAATAATAATTCAATCAAGTTCAACTATAGCATCATCAATATTATTTATAATACCTTTTAATTATTCCCAATTAGATAATGTTAAGGCAATTCCTTTTTTTTAAAATTATAAAACATTTAAAAAATAAAATTATATTGAAAACCTTTTTTTCCAGGAAGCATATCGCCATCTTTTTCATAAAATTCTCTAACATCAATATATAATTTGCCTTTAAATTTTCTAATACTCACCCTTTTTTTATCATCAAGCTATTTTTAATTTTATATATTATTAATATAATTTTAATATATTTTACATCAAAATATAAACTACCATCGCTTTACTTTTTTGGTTTTATTTCAGGCTTTTCAGTTTTTTTTTATTTTTGTAAACTTTAATCAGTTTTTTCTTTTTATTATGACTAACTCATTTGATAATAAAAATGTTTTTTTTATATATATTTTTATTTTTAATTTTTTTCTTTTAGAAAATAAAAATAAAATAATATTAATAAAAAGATATATAAAGTAAATTTTTATATTTAATTTTATGAATATATGAATTCAATTTTGACTTTTTTTTATATATTTATATTAAATATATATGATTCTATATAACTGAAATTTAAGCATTCTAATTTTTTATTACTTTTAACAATATTATAAATAGTTATAATTATTTTCTTATTATATATAAATGATATATATTATTATTTAATATACATATAAATTAATAATAAAATTTAAAAATATTTATTATATAATTTGATTTTGATTTTTATTTATATAATATTAATATAAATATAATATAATTTCAATATATAAATATAATAATAATTTAAATTAATAATTCTAATAAGAATTTGAAATAAAATAAAAATACAATTATAATAAAATAAAAAAATGAATATATATTAATATATCTATTTATTTATAAATAAAATATTATTATTTTAATGATGAATATTTACATTTAATTTTATATTTGAAATAATATAAAATGTAATAGATTTTGTATATTGATTTTAATTAAATAAATTATTAAAAATAAATAATATTAATATTATATTAAAAAAATTATAATATTAAAAAAATGTAAGTATCTCCGCCAGGAAAACTATAAATTTAATTAACAAATGCAGTTTTATAGAGAGATGTTAAGCTTTTTGGTTAAATGGTATAACAAAAAAAAAAAAAATAACAAAAAATATAAAAAAAAGCATCCATATGTAAATTTAATAATTGGAAATTAAAAATTTTAAAGTGCAGTTAATGATGGAGGAGGTAAAAATCCTAAATGGGCAGATAAATTCGATATAAAAAAAACAAATGAAAATTTTATAAGATTCGATGTAATGAATTAAAGAAAATTAGGTTTATTTGAAAATGATATAATAGGTTAAGGAAATTTAGATTTAAATCGTCCATATTTTATGAATATTATAAATGGAATGAAAGGTAAAAAAAATAAAAATATAAATATAAATATAAATATAAATATAAATATAAATATAAATATAAATTTATATATTTATATATTTATATATTTATATTTTTTTTAATAATTAATTTTTATATTATTTTTTAATTCAATTTAATAAAGAATGTATTCCTTTAAGATTTAATGGTGATTTTGCAGGAAATCTATATATTAATTTGAAATTTATACCTGATTTTGTTTTGAATAATTAATATCCTATAAACAATATACCTAATTAAATATCTTCGTCTAATTTTTATCCTTAACCTCCACCACCTCCTCCTAATAATGATATTTATATTGGAGATAATCATGCCAAACCTTAATTTTCTCTACCCATTGAATCTTAACCTGATATGGCTCCTTAATAACCTGGATTTCCTCCTTAATAATAATATATTTAACCTTAATAACCTGGTTATCATTAATAATAATTTGGATTTCCTCTTTAATAAGGATGTCAACCTTCGTAAGAATTTCCACCCTTATCTCAATAAGGATTTTAACCTCAATAAGGATACCCACCTTAATAAGGATTTCCTTCTTCTTATGGTTTTCCTCCTTAACAACCTGGATTTCCGCAATAATAGCATGGATTTCCATACTAGTAACCAGGATTTCCTTAATAATAGCCTAAATTTCCTCAATAATAACATGGATTCCCTCCTTTTTCTGGATAAAGAAAATGATTAATATATGTGTATAAAAAAAATTAAATAATTAAAAATTAATAATTTATAAATATATATATTTAAAAATAGAATCCATTAAAAATAATTATTTAATTTTAATTTTAAATACATATATATTTATTATTAAATTTTATATTTTTTAATATTAAAACAATAAATAATATTTAAAATTAATATCAAAAATACTATTTTTATATATATGAAATTTCTTACAAATAAAAAAAATACGACTAAATATTATTCTTTAAAAAAATAAAAATTAGTTTCTTTTTTTAAATAAATAGAAATATTAAAATAAATTTCATCTTTTTTTATAAAATAAAATATAAGAAGATTCACTACAAACATCTTTTTAATCAATTTTTTAAACACTCTAATCATCAAAGCAATACCATTCTCCATTATTAAGTGCAAAAGCCGTATAATGTCCTCCACCTAATCCTCCAAAGTGATTCACAGCAGCATAAAGATCAAACAATAGTCTACTATTATCCTCTCCTTCGATATCAATTTAGCCTTTTTAAAACAAGTTCTCCTAAAAATCTGGCTTTACATAAAGATTTTTAATCTCCTCATCATCATTTAAATCTGTGTGGTTTTCGTAATAATAAGAAGGAAGCTCTTTTTTAACCACATAATCAGTAATGTCGAGACCTTCTACAGGAAACGTTACTAGTTTTGTAAGTTTCTAATTCCAAATACCACCAGTCATTTTAAACCTTTTTAAATGGATAATAAGGATGTTTGGAACTCTATAAATTGTCATTTGTTTAGTCGCTCTTTTATGAGCTTTGCAATCTGAGCAATACCATTCATTATTTTCTTCAAGTTTTTCAGATTATTAGAATTAGTTAAAACATTCATAGATGCTTATATTTTCTTTTTATTAAAGTTATTGTTCTATTAATACTTCTTCGTTAATAATGCCTTTTTCTGGGATACTTAAAGCATTTAATTCTTCATAATTTATTTCAGAGTCTAATGGGAAAAAACATTCGAGTGATATATTGCATTCTTTTTCGTTTGCTTATTCAATTAATTATTACAAAGTTTACTTTTCATCTATTTTATATGGGAAGTTTTATGCATCTTCATCATCTTCTTCTTATAAGCTTTTTATAATTTTTTATATATATATATATATATATATATATATATATATATATATATATAAATAATTAGATAGTTTTTTTTAATTTACTAATTTTATATATTTTGTTCATTTAAATGTTTATTAATATTTATATTTAATTAATAAAATTTTTAATTTTATTCTTCGTTTAATACATATTTATAATAAAATTCTTAAGAAGAAAGTAATTTTAAATCATCTAAATAATTCTAACTAAAATCTTCACTTCTTAAAATTAATTATTTCAAAGATTCGAAAACTATTAAATGTATTTTATTAGCTGAAATATCTTTCTAAAAATAAAAAGGACGAGGAAAACAGACTTGTTTTTTAAGATTTCTATTAATATGTTTATATGGGAACGAAATATTTTTTTTAAAATAAGTTATTTCTATAAACATTAAAATGTCATCTTAGTTTTATTAGGATTATTCAAGTTCAAACAATATTACTTTATTTCTTTATTGTTTATTTTTTCTATATACATCTTTTAGAAATTCTTCATCTTTAATTACAGCTAATTAATTTCTGATTCTTGATATAATAATAATATATATGCATATAAAAATATAAATAAATAAATATTAGTTTATAAATAAATATTTGAAAATCTATATATATAAATATATATATTTTTATAATTAAATATATAATTAAATTTATTTAATATTATATATATTTATTTTTACTCATTCATACATAAAAGTAATCTATTTTAATTTACTTTGTATTTTCTTGCGAAATAATTTTTTAATTCTTAAACTTTTTAAGTTGAGTTTTCGTAAAAGTTAAATTAATCAGAAGTACAAATAATCCTATTATTTACTGGAATGTAATAGAAATCTAATACCTTAATCTATTAGTGAGGAATAGGCAAAGTACAAGTAAGAAAAGGATCAAAAGTAATCGATTATTTTGAACAATCTGGGCAAATAACTTTAGATTTGAATTATCCTTACATTAAATCTACGATTAAACTTTAATTTCTTTTTAAATGATTAATCCATGATTTTTTAGAAATAATATTATCAAATTCTTCCCCATTTGAATCTATTTTTTCTGTATAAGATTTATTTTTTACCCTATTAAGATCTTCATGTAATCCATCTAAAACAAACGATAAGAATTCCTAATTTTATTTATTTATTTTAAAATATTAAACACAAAAAGAAATATAAAATTACTTAAGAATCATGTTATTAATAACCACTAAAAATATTCTAAACTTAACTAACTGCATTTTTAATAGCACTAGGATAAAAAACTCTATCAGTACCAATCCATAATTTCTTGATAAATTTGAAATATTTATTTACTAATTTTCCTTTTGTACCTAAAGGATTATCTTTATTAATTTCTTTTTTATAATATTTATTCAAAAAATAATGAGTCAAAGGTTCTGTATTACTCAAACATTGCAAAGCACTATTCATATAGCAAGTATTACCTAAATTATTTAATCCACAAAGTCCTTTTACTGACTATTCTTTAAATTAATATGGACTAAGATCATTTTCATCTTCTTCTGAATCCTCAACTGCATATTCACATTTTCTGGAATGATAAGTAATGTCTTTCAATTTGCAATTTTCGGAACAATAGCTTACTGTTTTGCATTTACAAAGGACTTTCAATACTTTATAAGACTAACAATATTCACATTATTATTCATCTGATTCGCCTTCAAGTTTGAAAAAAAAATCCCTCATTCCCATATTACTATCTTTTTGAACTTCAATTATTAATAAGTTATTTTCTTCAAAATTCAAATCCTCAAATATAATATCTTCTTTTTTTTCTAAATTTATTAATGTGGAATTAAATTTGTAATCATAATTATTTGTTCGATTTACGCTTGTAAGTATATGTTGAAATAGTTATTATAAATTTTAATCTAATCCTAATTACCATAGTCTTATGTTTTCAGGAGTATTAGCCTATATTATTGAAAATTAAGAATTATTATGTTAGTATTAATTGACGAAAAAACATAGGTATTCTTTTAATTATAATATATTGTAACCGCTAAATATTTAGACTTTTTTAATATTGCTAAAAGAATCTAAAGATTTCTAATCAATATCTTTTAATAATTAATGATTAAGTATCAATAAAGGATGCTTATTTTTAATTTTGATTTAAAAAAAATAAAAAAATATTATACAAAAATTATTATTATACAAAAAAATATATAAAAATAGGAGAAAAAAAATAATAATAAATTTTTATATATAATATTATAAATTATAAAAGATATATATAAAATAAGATTATATTTATTATATTAAATTTTTAAATAAATATATATAAATTTTATATATTTATATAGTATATATAAATATATATTTATATATTTAATAATTATTTATTTATATATTTATTATTTAATTTTTTTATTTCTTTCTTACTTATTTATAATAAATTTAGATTAATTTTTTTCCATTTTATAAATGGTAAGCTTATCTTTTTATTTTCTTGATAGAATATTTTAAAGATATGAAAAAATCAATTATTTTCTTATTTACAAAAATAAAATCTTAATTTTCTACTAAATTAGGTTTTAGTACATAATATTCGTATTATTCTTCTGATTTTACAGGATAATATAACTCATTTTTTTTATTGCATTCTTCTTAAATTAATTCTATATTGGCTATTTCAAATTATTATTTTCCAAAATATTTTGTATTTATTTCTTTTCCTAGAATTACATCATCGTAACTTACATTTAATTTCCATTAATCTAACCATTAGTTTGATAAAATATAGTATTCATTACAATCACTGCTTATAAATTATTAGTTAAATTCTTTCCAAAGAATATTAAATTAATTTGCTTATTTAATTAATTCTTCAGTAGTAAACTATGGATTTTATACTACTTTATGAAAACCATTTATTCCATTTGGTTAATTTGATATGATTTATTCAATTTGTGAATTTTCATCTTCAGAATTTACTAATTCAGTTTTTTCTTCTTCTAAACCACATTATATGGGATTAATATAATTTATTAAGAAGTCTTGATTTTGAGAAATTCTATAGAAAAAAATAATGATTTTAATAATTGAAAATATATGATTTATTTTAATTGTATAGTTTTAGTTATGTTATTTTTTTTTTAATTTTTATTTAATATTTTTTTTTTTGTAATTAAATAGACTTTTAATGTATTTATTTAGTTTTTACCTATCATGTGTTGATTCATTTTCATTTTAAAAATTCATTTTTATTATATTTTTATATATTTTTTTGATTTTTATATATTTTTAATATTAGTTAAAGAAAATATATATTCTATTAAAAATGATTTTAAATAATATATATTTATTATAATATTTTAATATATAATTTTTATTTTTATTGTTTTAGTATTATATAAAGCAAAAAAAAAAATTGATAATATATTTCTCTTATTTAATTATTAATAATAATATGTTTTATTTTTTTAAAAAACTAAAAATTATATATAAAATATTTCTCTAGAAATTTTGTATTTTAAAATTTTTTCTTTAGAACTTTTATATTTAAGTATTATAATAAATTAATTAATTTTTAAAAATTAAAAAATACTATGAAAATTTAAATTATTCTAGAAATAATAATTCTTATTTTATATTTTTGAAATGAATAAATAAGTTTAAATATTTTAAATATATATTATATATATATATTCTAAAATAATAATATTTTAATTGAATTTATTAAATTTAATAAAATAAAAACAATAAAATTATTTATCATAAATAATAGAAAATATAATTTATAATATTAAATACAATTAATAATTTATTATTAAATTAATACAAATTTATTTAATTATTTATTTTAATTAATTTAAAAAAATAATTATAAAAATAATAATTTCTTTATTATTTAATAATATATTTTTTTTATTTTTATACAAATAATTTAAATTATTAAAATAATTGACTATCAAACATAAGATTTTTTGATATTAAAAATTTTTAATCAATTAAAATAGAAATATACTTAAATTAAGATATATTAGTAATTAACTATAAATTATTTATTTTTTAATTCATATTATTACAATAAATGATAATTTTATGAATTTTTTATTTTTATATATAAAATTAATATTAATATATTATTTCTTTATATTATTTGCTTTATTAGAAAAATTAATTATTTTTATGATATAAAAATTCATATTATATATTAAAAAAAGTATAAAATGGGAGGAAATACTTCAGTAATAAAAATTTTATATAAAAAACTTAACAAAAAACATATTTTTAAAAATTGCAATTTTTTTTAAAAAAAAAGTAAAATTAAAGAGAGCAAGAAGAATATTACAGACAACTGGAATAAAGAAATCAAGCTATATATAGTCAAATATATAATTAAAATTAATAATTAGATGTCCATCGTTTGGATAACAATTAATAGTAGAGTTAATTAAATTAAACAAAAATAGAAACAAAGAATATCTAATAAATTAAAAACGATATGATAATTAACAAAAAATCTATTAGACTAGTAAAAGTTTTTGAATATAAATATTTACTTTAATTTAATTATATATTTGATACTGATACTAAACTTTCAATATTTTTTGCTGGAATTGATTAATTTGATAATTAAACATTATTAACATAAATGTAAAAAGTTATAAAAGAATATTTAAACAATAGTTCTTTTTTTTATATAATAATAAATTTAGAATTTTAAATGATAATGCTTAAAATTTAGGTAATAATACTTTTATTATTCCTAAAGCTTCTAATGGCGTTTTTGATGGAAGTTTGTACCCTTTAGATTTAACAAAATTAAATTTAAACACATTATTACATTATGATGGAAAACATTAATATCCTTTGATTATTTTGTGTGTAAGAAAAAAAAAAAAAAAATATATTTTATTTCTAATAAAAAGGATAAACTTGATAAAAGTTAAGAAGATAAGAAAATGTTTACATATTGTTTTATATAATAATCAAGGACTTAAGGTTTAGGAATATTTGTTATAAAATAAAAAATCGAAGTAAAAAAAAAAAAAAAAAAAACTAAAAGAAAAAAATAATAATAATATTTTTAAGTATAATAAAATTGCTTAAATAATTACTGAAGCATATGGATTAGGAGATAGTGGAGTAAACAAAATTCTGATAAAGAATGTTCTATTTGTTTATGTGAAAAATAAATACAATGATTTTTCCTTGTCGGCATGTATGTCTTTGTTATGAATGTTGCTAAGATTTAAAAAATAAAACTAATAAATGTCCTATTTGTAGAGAACGTAAAATTATTATTTTTTAATTAATTTTATATTAATATAATGTTTTTTAAAAAGCTATGTAAAGTTTTTGGAAACTTTAGGATTGCTAATAATAAATGTAATAAGGCTAATAACAATTTAATAATTAAAATTAACAATAATATTAAGGTTAATAACAATTTAATCCTTAAAATTAACAATAATTTTAATGTTAATAGCAATTTAATCCTTAAAATTAAAATTAACAATAATTTTAAGGTTAATAACAATTTAATCTTTAAAATTAACAATAATTTAAAAATGAAGGTAATCAAAACATTATTTAGCAATAGAATGTTTAATAATATTAAAAACCTATTGATTATTAATAATAACAATTATAATAATAAAACTATTAATAATAACAATATTATTAATAAAATAATCTAGGTGATTTTTAAAATTAATAATAGTAAGTTTAATAAAATCCTAATTAATAATAAGGCATACCAATATCATAGTCTAATTAATAATAACCTAATATATCTTATAAATAACATTGGTAGAATTAAATATGATTATAAATTAAAAAAGAGTTTAATATAAAAATAACTTATTATTTTTATATAATTATAAAATTATACACTTTATTTTATAATTTTCATTTTCAATTTAAAAATATTTCTTTTTAAAAAATATTCATAAAAATATTAATAAAACTATTTATTAAATTATATTTTAATTTCGTGATTTCAATTGTTATTTTAATAGTATTTTTTTTGTTTGCTTTTTTTTTTTTATAAATAATAAAAAATCAATTAATTTTTGAATGATTATTCTTTTTAAAAAAGTAAAAATAAAATAAATATTTAATATTAAATGGATTAATAATAATGGCAATAATTACAAAGATAAATAGAAACAGAATTATTATTAAAGTCCTCAATTATAAATAAGTTCGGATTTCGATAAAGTGAAGAAACAATAACTAAATCAGAAACTCTAAATAATTTAGACAATAAATTGTATTAATAATTATTATAAGATTATTTAAGATAAAACGATGAATAAAGAATATCAGATAATATGCTTTAAAGTGAAATAATATTTACAACAGCTTCAAATAATAATGAAAAATAATAATACAAATTCGAAGATAATAACTAAAACAAATATTCACAAATAAAAAATTCTTATAATATTAATAATTATATTTGTGATAATAATACTTTTAATAAAATGGAATCAAACGTTTCAACCATTAACGATAATAATTAAGATATTTAAAACATTTAATAGAGTGATATTATATATACATGTAATTCTTAAAATATTGCACATAATATAAATAATAGTTAGAATTAATTTTCAATTAATTAATATAATTCGTAAAATTTAAATAGTTATAGTATTTAAAAAGATTAAATTTTTAAAATTTTATAAATTTAATTTTAGTAATTTGTTTAAGAAAACGAAAAATTCAATTATGTATATGATATTATTTCTAATAGTAAATCTTTAGATGACTTTTATCTTAAAATTTCAATTAATTATTATACTTAGTTGTAGAATATTTTATAATAATAATAATAAATTTCTAGTTTAAATGAGGAGATTTTTAATTATTAAAATATTGAAACTTAACTCAATTAAAAAATTGATGATATTTTATTTAGTAAATTTAATGAAAAATAAGATATAAATTCTTAAAAAGAAAAGATTGAAAAAGCATTTAATAATACATTATAAGTATATTAATTTTATAAATCAAAAAAAGTAATAATGATATATATATATATATATATATATATATTTTTAGGAAAATATTTAATTAAAGTAATAAATACTTAATTTATAAAATGATATTTCATTAAATTAATAAATTATTAATCAAAACGTAACTATAAAAACATTATCTCTATTAATTTTTATTGTTTTTTTATAAAAAAGTATAAATAGAATGAATTATAAGAGCTAAAATTATAATTTAGTTGTTTATAAAATGAATTATAATTAAATAAATAATTAATCAATAAAAATATAATTAATATTCAAAATCTTTAAGAAAAAGATAAATATAATGAAGAAATTATTAAAATTGTTTTTTAAATATTAGAATAAAAGAATTTTGAAATACAAAATATTAGGAAATATTTAAATCTACCTAATGATAAGAATGATTAATTTTATATAATTATGTAATAAATAAAATCTAAAAATGATTAATTAGTAAGTAGATTAGCTTAACTTTAAGCAGGAAATAATTAAGAATGATTTTTTTTATTTTAAGAATATTTTTATTTTCATATAAATTTTTATATAATTAACTTTTTAATTACATATTTTTTTATCAAAATATAATATTATTAAATAATTTTTTAAAAAATTATAATTAAAAATAATGTATAAATATTTATTTTGTTTTTAATTTTAAAATTTGAATATATAATAGTAATCAAAGCAAACTATTTATAAAATGTATTTAAATTTAACTTTTAAAATAAAAATAAATATTAATTATTTATAAAAAAATTAATATATAGCTATTTCATATGATCTTATAGTATATTTAAAAAGCAATAATAATATTATTTAGAAAATTAGTTCCGTTTAATTTTTGTATAATGTTTTAGTAAGAAATTAAATAATTATATTCATTTATTATTTTATAAACTTTTATTTAAAATTAAAAATATATATGCATATATTGTAGACTAAAATTATTCTTATATTTACATTCATAAGCTTAAAAATAAAAAAATAAAAAATATAAAAATCTTAAAAAGTGTTAATAAATTATATTTGTAGTAATAAATTCAATTATTATATAATCTTTTTTCTAAATTGTTATCTTAAAATGTCAGATTATTTTAATTTTAGTTATATTAATCTTGATATGATAATTAATTTTCTTCAAACTCACCAAAATAATTTGTCTTTATAAATTAAATTTTGTTACTTAATAATATTTATAGATTTAAGAATAAATAGTTTACTTATTTTTCAAATTTTCTATTATCTGAATATTGTTTATAACAGATATTCAAAAATATCCCAATTAAAAAAATCTAAGTGATAGTCCAAACTATTACTATACTTATTTAAAAACTATCCATTTATGAATTTGTTAATAAAAATTATATTTAAAAAAAAAAAATATACTAAATATACACAAAAAAAAAAAAAAAAAATTAATGTTAATTTTAAAAATATAAAATAATTTTTTGATTAAAAAAAAAGATTTTTAAAAATATATTAAGATATAATTAATTAAATTTATAAATAAATTTTTAGTATATTCTAATAAAAATTTAATTGTTTCATTTTTTTTTATTAAATAATTCTTCATATTTTTATTTATAGTAAATACCATTTATTATTTAAACTTTTATTATATATAAGTATATATTTTTTTCAATTTTTTATCCCTTTTTAAATACTTTAATAAGATTAAGATATAGATTCATCTTTTGAATTTTTAGATCTTTTTCTTCTCTTAATTATTTGTTCGCAAGAATTATTTTAACTATTAGATTAAACATTTTTTTATTTTGTTTTTTTATTTGTATTTTTTTAAGTAGTTGCTTATTTTATTGGTTCTTTTTAATTTTATTTTAAATCATTTTTTTAAAAGATTTAAATCTTCTAATAATCATAAGTTTCTGGTATTATTTATTCTTCTTATTAAATTAATTCTGTATAAATTTATTCTTTTATTGATTCAATAACTTAAAATTAAGTTTTAATTTTAAAATAAATTATTTTATATTATTCATATAGTATATTTAAAATTTACATTCTTCAATTTAATTAGATTCAATTCCTTTAGAATCTAAGAATAAAGCTAAGTTTTAGATTATTTAAAAAATAGATTTTCTTTATTTTTTCAATTTAAACATTTATTTTAAAAGAACCATTTCTAATAATTTAACATGTTAAGAAATTTCAATATGAGCTTGCAAATTTATATTAGTAAATAAATTTTTTTTAAATTAAAATTTTTAATTTCATACTTTAAGAATTATTTTCTTCATTATTGCAACTTTTTTATTAGATAGAGTCACTTTTTTAAGAAACCTAATTTAAAAAAAGTTATTATTAAGTAAATTTATTTTACTGTTTCGATCATTTTTTTTTATTGTGTTATATTATACTATGATGTATTTTATTTTAATTAATTTATTTCAAAATAAAAAAAATCAAATATTGTTATAACTTTTATAAATTATAAGAATGAAAAAAAAAAAATGATTAATTGGTTATTAGAGATTTAAAAACTATAAACTAGAAATTAAATATCATTTTAAAAATTAGATTTAATTATTATTTATTTATTTTCTTAAATAACATACAATATAGTATAATATTAATTATATTAAAATAAAGGTATAAAATAAATAAATATTATATTTTTAATTATTTTTATAATATATAAAAATATTAAATATTTATATTTTATAATTTTCATTTATTTAAATTTAAAATTGATTAATTACATATTATTTTATATTATTACATATATCTTATTTATTTTTATTATTTATGGATTATATATTATTATTGATTATTTTTAATATTATAATATTTTAGATTAATATTAAATTATTTTTAATTTATTTCGCATTATTTTAGTTTTTTTATTTATCTAAAAAAACAATAAAAAATATAATATAGAGTTAAAAAAAATGATTTTTGAGTTTCAATAAAAAAAAATTAATTAATTTTATTTTATAAAATAATATTTATGTTTTTTTTATATAAAGCAATTTCTATTACGATAGACCTGGCTAATATAAGAATTTAGACACAATACTAGCTGAACCAAATTTAACTGCAGAAATATTTTTAGACAAAAATAATATAGTATAAGAAGTTGAATATAACACTATCTCATTTATAAAATAGTAAAAACATTTTTTTTTATAAAAACAAATTAAACAAAAACAAAAATAAGCATTAAAAGGAATCCTAAATTTTTAATTGATGTTATTGATATTACTTTAAAAATACCTTAGATAAAAGAACCATAAGAAAAAAATTATAAGTAATTAAAAAAACTATAATAATACCAAATAAAAATTTACGCATATTTTAAAAAAAGATTACCTTTATTAGCATCTTAAATTCTTGGTTCATACTTTCTAAAAGATATTGAGAACTTTTATTATAATATATACGATTAAGATGAAGAAGATTTGAAGGAACTAGAAATAACTGGCCAAGAGGTATTAGGACATATTCTTTAGTTTTTAAAAACTGATTAAGATTTAGATGATACATGTGCTGGTTATTTTGCTAATATAATGAACAATATAATAACAAGTAGTGATTATTTTTTCTAATACATAGGAGATAAAAATCAAATAATTAACAATTTAATAAAAAATATAAAAAACAGAAGTGTAAGTGAGATATTAACAAAGTTAATAATAATGGTAGGAAGTAATCCTAATTAAGATTCTTATATAGTAAAGAGGGAATATATATTAAAAAAAATAGGCAAGAAATTCCAAAAAGGGGATGTTTATGAAGCCAAAAATATCGAGCATATAATATAGGAAATAATAGATAAACTAATTACTAGCGATGGAGAAAATATATGCCTTGAAACTGCTAAAAATTATATTTATTCAGAAAAGTTTCTTTCAAGGTTTTTCTAAGTTCTTGTTCAAAAAAAAGATAAAAAATAAAAAAAATATGAAGATGGTGTTTTGTGCTCTGCGGCTAATATTTTAAGTATATTGGTGACTTATTAAAATAATTAAATTAAAGAGAGAAAAATGTCCTCATCTTCTGTTTAACATTAAAATGAATAATTAGATGATAATTAATAATAAAATAATAATAAGTTAGTTTTAGTGGAGTATTTTATGAATTATATTCCAGGTTTAATAAATGATGTTTTATTGTAAAATAATGGTTAGGTTAAGAAATTATTGACTTCTTTTGGAAAGGAAATAGAAATTTTAAGTTTATAAAAGCTGAAAATCGTTGAGTTTTTTGGGCATGTATTCAAATGCGAGAATATGTAAGCAATAGAAAAGTGTGCTGAGAATGGTATTTTCGAACATATTTGTAGTTTAATGCAAAAATATCCTTAGAATAATCTTTTACATATTTAGATTGAAAAAATAATTTAAGAAGGCATAAATATATGTGTAGACGAAAAATCGGAAATCGTTTGTGAATTTCTTTTTTAAAAATTTAGTTTATTGAAATTTATTGCTGTTAATTCATAGAATTAATGCTCTTTTTTGGGATTTCTTACTAAAATTGGAAGAAAAATTGAAGGTTAGGAGAAACTTTAGAAAAATTTTGGGGATGAGGAATGGGATAATTATAAACAAAAAACCTTAGTTTTAATTAAGGAAAAAGAAGATTGTTATCTTGGAGGAGATCATGATCATGCAAGGCATAAAATTATTGATATTTAAGAAAATAGTAAAGAAAATGAATAACTTTAAAAAATTATGAACGTATTCTTCTTTTTTTTTTAAAAAAAAAATATGAGTAAAGATGCATTAAATTTTTTTATTATTATTAAAAAAATAGAAATATAGTTAATATTTTTCTTATTTTACTGGTGAAGATATTAATTAATAAAAAAAATAAGATTAATAAAATAAATAAGATGAAGAATAAAAATAATAAGAACATGTTAATGAAGGTTCTTAAAAAAAATAAAATCAAAAAAGAAAAAAAAAAGAAAAAGATTAAAATCAAAGTTTATAAAAAAGCAAAGAAACAGAAAATATAGAAGATAATAAATAAAATGAAAATTAATAAGAGATTTAAATAAATCAAGATGACTAAGAATCAAAATAAGAAGAAAACAAAGAAGAATAAAATAATTAAGAAAGATAATAATAACAATTAGAAAAAAATAAAAATTTAGTAAGCTTATTAGTAAAAAATGAAAATGATTAATAAGAATAAAATAAAATCTCGTAAATAAATATTTTATTTATATATATATTTTTATTAAAAAAAAATATAGATAAGAATATAATAAAATAGAAATTCAAACTGAATATCTTGTAAGAAAATTATCTTTTAAAAAAAATAGTTAAAATTTAGACGATTTAATAGAAGAACTTTGATAAAACAAATAAAATATAGATTTAATTTTTTTTTTTTAAAAAAAAAAAATATAATTTTACTAAAATTTTTTTTTTTTTTAAGAAATAAATAATAATTTATTTTTATATATAAATATTCTTATTTTTAAATTATATATTCTTATATTTTCTTTTAAAAATATTTTGTTATTTTATTCATTCTATTTTAAATATTTTTTTTTTTTTTTTAAATAATATATTATTAATTACTTCTGTCCTCTCTTTATTTTTTATTTCTTGATTCTCCGTCTCTTTTACTAGTTTTATCACTTGATTTTTCTCTGCTTTGTAATTTTTCTTTTTTTTCATGTTCTTTTTTATATTTTTCTACAGAACTTCTATGACTACTTTTTAAATTTTCAGTACTTTTTTTAAGAATATAACATTTTTTTATTAATAAAGGATATATATATATAAATATATACCTAGGATTTGTAATATTTTTCTTTTCCTATTCTTTTTATTTAGTAGGAGCATCAGTTAAATTTTTAAGAGAGCCTAAAAATAATTAATATCCTTCAATTCTAATGGTGAGACTTTTATAAGTTTCTTTTGAAAATTGTTTTTCAAGTTAATCCATTAAAACTTTACATTCTTAACATTAATGTTTATATTTAGGATAAATGTTCTTAATAACATTTAAAAGAGTTAATATATTTCTAACTTAGATTTCGTTTTTGGTCATTTATTAAATAACTTTAAACATTTTATCAAGAATACTTGCTGAAATATAATTTTTATATTTATCATAATCAAATTTTTCAATAATATTTTTATGAATATAAGTTTTTAAAGACTCTTATAATTTTTCAGACCCATCCAAATAATTAGAAAATGGTCTAAAAATGTCATTAATAAAATAGAAATATTGATAGCTTCCTTTTCAGTAGCACATTAAATATATGGTAAAATTTTCATAACAATTTATTTAATAGACCTAACAGAATCACTCAAAGGAGCATAGTTGATTCTTAAAAGGCATAAAAAAAATCTAGAACAATACATAGCTTCGTTTTATTCTATTACCATTCTAGGAAGAATACAACTTTAAGAAAATTAAGTAATAAAATTATCTTTTTCTATTAAAAAAAAATATATAAATAAATATATATATAAATATATATTTATTATAAAATTTATATATTTAATTTTTTTATATATATATTAATATATAATTTTATATATATTTTATTTTTTATTTTATGTTTTTAAAATTTCATTTATATTATAAATTTTACCTTTAAAGTCTATATATAATTTAGGTTTTATAGATTATATATATAATTCATATTATTCATATCTTTTTGTGTATATTTCTAATTCAGTTTCTAGTTTTTTTAAAATAGATTCTTAATCTCTTAATTCTTTTGGTTTATCTTTTTCTTTTTTATTTTTTCTTGCCATTTTTTACTTATATTGTCTTTTATTTCTGCTATTTGTACTTTGTATACTTCTTAATTTATACTAATATTTTCTAAAGAAAGCATCCAGAAAGTACAATATAATTCTGGCTTGATTATATCCCATAATCCTTTTTGTTATCTGCTTTCTATTTTTGATAATCTTATTTCTTATTCTTATCCTTCTTCTTTATTTCTGTTTCCATGTGCTCATAATTACCTATAAGCCTAGTTTAGTAGTCTAAAGAATCATACAATTCTTTGATTTCTTTAAAACATTCAGCTTATTCGCTTTCTGTCATTTAAGAAAATTACTTAAAGCCCGCTCTAGTTATTTAAAATGCTGTTTCAATTGGAATTTGATAGGTCAAAACTAGTTCTTTTAAGGCTTTTTAAGGCATTAACTAAAGATATTAAGAAAAACCTTCTGATTAAAACCTAAGGAAATAAATTAGTAAATTTAAAGAATCATTTATCATATCATAAAACATTTCCATTGTTTTAGTATCGAATTCATATGTATCCATAAATTTGGCACGTTCTTGCCCTAATAATAAAAGCATATAGAAAGCTAATGATGATTTTTCCTTTTTGTTTTCTATTTCTAAATCTATAAATTTATATGTACTTTTCCAAAAAAATTATTCTAATGCTTTTTGACTTTTCTTACATTTTTTTACCTCTTCAGTTAATCTTAAACTTTATACCTATTTTATTTTTTAATTTCTTTTTAGTTTATGTATGTTTATATTTTTACTTATAATGTTAATCCCCCTGCAAATGCTTGTAATTAATTTTCATTTAAATTTGAAGGAATTACTAATCCTGTCATTTTAGCTATGATGTCTTTGAATATATAAAGATCTATAGCTGCATTTTTATTAGGTTCGAATATATTTTTACGACTTGTTTTAAAAGCATTAAGAAAATACATAAAAATAGGAGTCTTAAAAAAAAATATATATAAATAATTTTTAATAAAAAAAGATAAGAAAATACCATATCGGCATGATAGAATTTTTTGTAAAAATTTGATATAAAAAGTGAACAATTTTTAAACCAAACTTCAATTGAGGCAGTTTTATTATCATATTTTTTTTCTTTTTTATCCACAATATGATGTATTATTAAATAAACAAAAACATCATGTGAAAGTTTAGTTCCATATTAAAATGTTCCAATAGAATCAGGAATAAGATTTTCATAATTTTACATCGTAACCCTTCTCATGATAAATCCTTGTACAACAAAAGGATTATTATGTGCTATTTTAATGATTTTTTTCGAGTACATTTTTTTATTATCATTATTTAATTTATTAAATATTTCTTTTACTTCTTTTACTATTCTTCCTTATTTATACAGTGCATAAACTAGTTCATACATTCTCTCAGATTAACATTCTAAATAATATTAAAATCTTGTCTTATAATCAAATAAAGAAAATGCATTCCAAAGTTCATTTACAGCTCCTGGATTACATTCGAATAATTAAACTCCTGGTAATAAATATTCTCCACATATTTTTTATATTTCCAATTAATAGCTATTATTTTATTTATATATAAATCTGCATATACGGCATACTTTTGCGTACAATATGGCATCTAATCCTACGTAAGCTTTAATTATTCTTAAAAAAAGAAGCATTGCTTTTACACAATTATCTATATTTTCAACTTATTTAATTTATTATTATTAAACAAGACTCGTTTAACTGTCTAAATACTTGCTCATCTTATGGGCACTTCTATTCTTAAAAATATGTCTAGAGGGTGATATTTATTAATAAAAAGGTTATATGACCCAATCAAATAAAGCTAAAAGAGAATCCAAAAGTGGTCCATGGGCTTTTAAATCAATATAAGAGGCAAAAACATTAAAAACTTCTTAGAAATGTTCCCAAGCATTCACACGCACAAGGGCTTCCAAAAACCATAATTTCTAATATGAAAGAAATTAATTTTGGAATATATTAAGTCTTTCATCTTCAAAGGCTTTTTTCTTTTCATCATCTTCACTGAATGTGAGAATTATTTTATAAGAATCTGAATAATAATTTTATGCATGTTTAAATGTGTTTGAGAATTATTCAGTTATTTTAATATCTGTGGGTTGTAGATAATTCCATACTTATTCTACTTTTATTAAATCGTATTTTATTAAATAGGCACATACGGTTATTGTATCTTGGAAATAGATAGAATTTTATTTTTGAGTTGAAAAATATTCGAGCTTTTTTCCTAATAAATTTGCTATGGAACTTTTGTTGAAATGTTATATAATTTATATATAAAGGGTATTATTTTAATTTAAGATGAAAAAATTTAATAAACATTCCAATACACGGTCTGGGTCTAAATCAAAATATCCGATTAAGTTTATTATTCCTTCATATACTTCTTAAGGTTTAAATTATTCTCTTAAATCAAATAATAGGGCTAATAATTTAGAATATCCTTCATTTTATTAACTAAAAAGATTGTATTTGGTCTATAAATAAAACATTTTGGTGTTTATTTTTCGACGTTTTCTTGCAAATAAGTCTTCATCTATCAATTTGGATGTCTTTATTTATAATTCACTTAATGTGTCTATATAAGTATGGTCGTTACTTAATCTTTCTTCTGAAAGATTTTTTAAAAATTGAAGATAGTTTTATTTTAAATCCATATATTCTTTATCTTCGATTTGCTTTTGTATACTATCTATATATAATCCTATTGTATAAAAGTATTCGTATATATATTTAAGTTCTTCTTAATCTTTTTTCTTTTTTTATTAAAATATATTATGTTAGATAAAAAAAGTATTAATTTTACTTCTTTAATTTAGTTGAAGAATTAAAATAATCTATCTTGCTATATTTTCTTTTTAAAGTAAGCAAAAAGTATAGAAAACAAAAAATCTTAAACTTCCAGATCATTATTTAATTTTCTACGCTCATTATATTCATGGAATCTTTTTTTTTTTTTTTTTAAGAAATAATAAGTTATTTTTATTTTAAAAAATGCTGTTAATTACAAATCTTTATTTTATTATGATAACTTTTATCCTTAATCTACAAATTTATATACATATATTTACTTTTATGATTCCATTTTTTAAAATATTTTATTTTTGAATTTTGTTTTTATATGTGTTTTTTTAATACAATTTTTTTTGTTTTAATTAAAATAATTATATATATCTTATTATTTATTTATCTTTTTTTACATTAGATAAATTATAAATTTATTATTTTCATTTTTAAATTTATTTGTTGAATTTCCAACATAATACTTATTATAAAGCTTTCTTTTTTATTTTTTTCTGCAATTTTTTTATTTTTTAAATTAATAAACAAACAAATATATAAATGGATAAAAACATTTATTTTTTATTAATTGAATATTTTTTAAAATAAAAAGAATTAATATAAATATATATATTAAAATATAAAAAAAAATATTTAAAAAAATATTATTTAAAAATTTTATATACGTATATATATAAAATATTGATGATATTTTTATAAAAAATATAAAATTTATTATTTCAAATTATAAAAATAATATCATATAAATATTTTTTTTTATTTTATACTAATATTTAATAATAAAATATTATATAAATTAATTTAAAAAAAATATTAAAGATTATATATAAAATAAATAATAATTTTTTTAAAGAAATGTAAATTATAAAGATAAATATTAGAATAAATAAATAAAAGTAAAACTTTATATATAAATTTATGATTAAAACATAAAAATATTAAATATTTATATATATATTATCATATGATTATTATTATTATTTATATAATTATAATATTTTTTATTTTAAAAACTTTTTTTTAAGTTTTAATATATAGTTTTCTACAATAATCTAATTAATAAATAAATAAAACATATATAAGTTCAATTTAAAAAATAAACTAATATTTAATTATATTTATACCATTGTATTTATATAATTTATCATTCTTTACTTTCATTACTATAAATAAATTTTCTTGAAAAATAAATTAATTTAAATTTAATTGTATTAAAACTATTTTATTTTAGATTAATTGAATTATAAATAATCATATAAACAAAAAAGAACAATAATTTATGAATATAATATATTTTATATTGATTCCTATATTTGTAGATTTACTTATTATAATGTTTGAGAATAAAATTTAAATATGTTTTTGACTTATATAAACACATTACTTAAAGTTGTGTTTTTAATTAAAAAACTAAATATTAATTAATTTTTATTAGGAGAAATTTATTGAATGTTAGTTTTTTACTTTAAAAATAAAATAATAATTTTTATTTTTTTAAATAGTATACGAATCCAATAGACTTAGATATAAATTATTAGTAAATAAAAATATAATTAATAAATTAAATCCGGAAATATTTTATGTAGATTATATATAAAAGGATGTGAGTAAAAAATAAGATGAAAAATATCTAAAAAGAATTTATTTACTATAATAGAGCCTTACATTTAAGATATTATTTTTGAAAGAAGGCTCAATTTTTTAAAAGAAGTTTATTTATGTTTATCTATTTTTATAGAAATTAATTAGTTAGTCTAAACTTACTTAAACCCCAAATAAATATTTCCGAATTGCATTGAATCAAGTATATTTGAATGAAATTTTCAAACAAATTTATTAATAAATAGAATTAATATTTTTTATGATAAAATTATATTTGAAAAGTATATAAAAAAAATTATAATTTTATAAATATATAAAATTCTAATTTTTACTAAAAAAAAAGAAATTGATGCTTTGTCTAAATTTTATTTCCTATATTGTACCTAACTTTTAGAAAAATATTCCAATTAACCTCTAATCTATATATAATGTTATGTATTTTAATAAGTAATAAGTAGCATATATTTATAATAGTTTAATCACTTCTTAATATGATTTAAGTTTAGATATTTATTTTAAGAAATTAAATTTAAAGTGTAACTTTTTAAATGGAAATATTACAAAGACTATTTATTATAGATTTTAAAATATTAATATTGCATCTTTTATAGTTTTTTATTTTATTTTTTAACTTTTATTTATATTTATTAAAATAAATTCTCATGATTATATAATTATTCATATTATATTTTATTATTTTTATTAAAAATAAAATAAAATTCAATATTTTTGATATGTTAAATCTTTATCTTAAATTTATATATTTTAGTTTTTAATAAAATAAATATAATTAAATATAAAAACTTTTTTCATTAAATAAATTAAAATTTAATATAATGTAATAATATTAAAAAATAAAAAAATATTCCTTTTTTAAAAAAAGCACAATTTTTTATTTTTATCAAGTTTGTTTTTTAAGAAAACAAAATATAGAAAAATAAATATTATTCATTTAAATAAATAATAGTATTTCTATCAATATTTTTTTGTTTATTGCATAATTCATTACTAGTTTATGTCTTTTGAAACCTTAAAATTATCAATTTTTTAGATTAAGGCTTTTTTTTTACAAATAGATCTTAAAATTAATGATTTTCCAAACTTTTAAATTAATAGAGAATGTATTTTTAATAATTTTCCTGGTAAAAATTTATCTTCTTTAGATTTTCCCTCAGATATATATTAAAAACTCTAATATAAATAAATTTGTTAAAAAAAAAATATGTATAAATATAAATTAATAATAATGAAATTTGAATAATTTTAAACCTTATTTATATATTCATATAAATTGACTGCTTCTTCATCATTAAGACTATTTACAAGTTCATTTTCTCTTCCTTTTATATTTGAAAATTCATTTTATACTAATAATACATACTTTTCAATAGTCTATTCATCATTACATTTCAAAGGAGGATTTTCAATAGCAATTTTAACTCTAGTTGATATATCTGAATTTTAGTTTTGTCTTAATTTATCTTATTTTTCTTTTAATATATTTTAAAATAATTATTATTGTTCTTATTCGTCTTCTTTTTTAGTTGTTTGTTTATTCATTTATTTATTTTATTTGTTTATTTTTTTATATTTATATTTTTTTTTTATTAATTTTTTTTATTTATTTATTAATATTACTTGATAAATATTTATTTATTATTTTTTAATTTATTTTTAAAATTATAGTAATAAAAAGATTAAGCATACTATTTTTATTTTGAAAAGAATAAATAAAAAAGTTTAAAAATGGAATATATAATTTGTACAATATATAGTTAAAGTATAGTATCAACAAACTATATTTATAAATTCATAATTAAAAAAAGTATATAAAATTATTAAAAAGGGTTATATATATTTTTATATTTTCAAAGAATTTTTTAAAGTTAAGCTTAATTAAAATGAAGATAATTATGTCGAATTATATTATAAAAGATAAAACTAAAAAATAAAATCAAAACTAATAATAGCTTTTATAATAACATTAATTCTAGCAATTAATACAATAATATTTTATTGTGAAAAAGATGAAAGTATTTTAGAATGTTTATAGTTTAATAATACTTTTTTCTAAGAAATAAAATTTATAATGATTACTTTAATTATTAATAGTATATTATTTATGAGTTCAATAATTTAAAGATTAAAAGTATTTATTTATTAATCTTTTATTTTATTATTTAAAAAAAGTAAAAAACTTTTACAAAATTAATTTAAAATGCCTTTACTAACAAAGAATGGATAGAAATAAAAAAAATTTTGCAGTATATAAATTAAAATATTGAAAAAAAATTAAAATAAAAAAAAATATTAAATAAAAAAGGCACCTTTTATTGAAGAGTTTATATTCAAAGTATTATTTACAGCTATAATGAATAAGTAATTTTAATAAAATTATAAAATATAAATAATAAGTCCTTTAATATTTTCCTTATGTAAATAAAAAATTAAATTTTAAATTATTTATTTATTCTAAAGTATTAAAAAAGGCCATTATTAAGCTTTTTTTTTACTAATTTTAAAAAGACCAATTTTAACTTCATTTATAATTTCAAGTATTATATTTTTTAAAAATAAAAATTTATTTATATTATAAAAAAAAAGCTGGATAAGGTGCAATGACTTTTGTTTTCGGATATTACTCTAGTTATATTTATTTAAAAACACAATCTTTATTTGCATGCTTCGCATTACATTCTTATTGTAATATTTTAGGCGCACCTAACTTTTAGTATGCTTTATAAAAAAAAAAATATGCTATTTTACATATAATTGGTATTATATCTTTTTGCTTTTCATGTTAAATTTTTCTTTGAAATTAAATATAAAAGTAGAAATTCTAAATAATTTTTTTTTTTTTAAATTTTAAATATTAATATATAATTATTCTCTATTTTTATAAAAATTATTTAATAAAAACTTAAAAATATTGATTTTTTAAATAAATAATACAAAATTTGATATAAAATATAAAATAATAAAATATATATTAAAATTTCTTATATTTAACTTTAATATTATAATACCATCATTTTTTAATAAATTAAAAAATGTAAATAAAAAATAGAAAGTAATAGGAAAAAATATATTGATAAAAATGTAGTATATTTATTAGAAAAATATAAAAAAAAATAAAAAATTGTTTTCTATATTTTATATTTAATTTAAATAATAAAATTAGAAAAAATAAAAGCAAAAAATTAAAATAATAAAAAAAATATTTTAATTAAGTTAAAAATAACTATTTTTTTTAATAAATGTAAAAAATAAATAAATTATAATTACATTTTTATTTAAAAAAAATAAAAAAATATTTATTAATAAAATTATAATAACAAATATATTAATTTATTATAATAATTTTTTATTTAATTTACAAAGAAAGAAAAATTTTTAGAAATTTAAATATAATAATTTAATGAAAAATTAGTTAAAGTATAAATAATTAAATACTATAAAGAATATTATAAAATAAATGAAACTATGAGTTCAATAAAATGTAATTGTAATAATTTTTGTTTTTTGTTTTTTTATTAAATAAATTTATTATATGATTATTATATATTTATTATTTATAATTATTCTTTATTTTTAAATAGTTTATTTATAATATACTTTATTTTTTCTTTATATAATTAATATTTTTTAAAATATAATTCATATATTTGATTTCATAAAAAAATTTATTATATAAATAATTAAAGATAATCCAATAAATATATAATTTCAATAATATGTAAATTTTAATATACATTATTATTAATTTAAATATTTTTCTGATAAATTAAATTTATTAATTTCAAAATATTAAAACATACGAATTTAAATTATATTTTTAATTTAAATAATTTCTATTTAAACAAATAATACATAATTAATAAATATTGCAAAAACAAAAGGAATTTTATAAAATTTTGTATTTATTTAATTATATACTCAAAATTTAAAATTAAGATAATAATATTAAAATCATAAATATAATATTTTTTAATTTGTTTAAAATTCCAAAATAAATTATATATTAAAATATATTAATAATTATATTTTTATAAACTTAATATTTTTTTTACGTCAATATTAATTTTATTTTGATAATGTATTAATTATATATTTTTATTTTATTTTCTTAAATATATAATAAAATAGAATTTTTTCTAATTATTAATATTATTTTTAGCTTTTTATTCCAAATAATTAATTATTTTATTATTTATATTGTATATTTAAAAATTAAAAATAATACGATTAATTTTAATTGACATTTTAATTTATATTAAATATATTGTTCTTTTATAAATTTCATTAATATTATAATATTAGACACAATAATTTTTCTAATTATAATTTAATATTTTAAAAATGGCATATTAATCAAAAAAAAAATTTTAGTGTCCTACATTTTACTAAAAATCCCTACAATATTTTCAATTATTTATCTTTAATTTGTTTCGATGACTATTTTGGTAATAATAATCAAACCATATTTTAGGTTAAATTATGTTCTATAAAACAGTAGCTGAATATTCGATTACTGGAAATGGTGGATAGATTTAAATTTGAGGAGTGATAAATATAAATAATTTAGGAAGCTAGGAAGCTGATAATGCCATTATTATATAGAATTTTATTAAAGCTATTGATTATATAAATTTATTATCCTTTTTTTTTGTATTTGTTAATAATATAAATATTATTTTTGTATAAAACATTTTATACTAAGCAATTATTTTATTATTTTTATTTCAAATATGAAATATTTAATTAAATTAAAAAAAATGCAACTTCTTTTATAATTTTAAATTAAATTTAATTTTATATATTATATATAATAATAATATAAGTAATTAAAATTATGTATTTAAAATATTATTTAAATTATTTAATAAGCATATATATTATTATATAAATAAGATATTTTATTGTATTTAATTATACTTTAAATATATTTTTTTTTATTTAAAAAAAATTATCCATATATTTAATTAAATAAAATTTATTTATTATATAATTTTTATTTTAATTTAAATTAAATTACTAATTTATTATTAAAATTTTAAATTATCTTTAACTTATTTTAATTTTTATTTATACAGGCAATAAACAAAATTTATAAAAACAAAAAAATATGTAAATATATAAATAAATTAATACTAAAGAAAATATAAGCTTTACTTATAAAAGCAAATTATTTTATATTACATAAATGTCTTTAATATTAAAAGCATTTAATAGAAACTTAAAATTTTCATTATTTTTAATATTATGGAATTAAATATAATTAATAAGTATTCAAATAGATAATATATTTTAACTTATCTTTCTAAAAAAAAAAGACACTTTTATTAGATAACTTTTGAAAATGTAATTTTATATTCAAAAAAAACCTTAATTATATTCTAGAATTTTTAAATTAAAATACTTTTTTGTGTTTTTTACTTAAATACATTTTAATTTTTACATTTTTATGCGTTTTTTTGCTTTGGCACACTGTAGATAGTAAAAGAAAAAACAAATTATAAGCAGATGGATTAATTTTTTCGATTTTTATCAAACATATTAATATTTATTATTAATTCCTTTCATATAATTAAGTTTGGATGGCATTTTTAATAAGGAATATATTGTTATTTCAATAATTATATTAATTTAATCTTTTTTAATTTAAATTTTAATATTATTAAATGAATTCGATTATTCATTAATAGAAAGTGATTATTTGGCTCAAAGTAGTAAAAATAAATATAAATGGATTTCTATATTGTTTGAAATAATAATACTTTTTATAGATAAATTTGGTAAGCTTTAGATATAATTATGGATTTAGTTTTTTTTTAATTTAATAAAGTTTTTATCTTTTTTATATGATTATCCTTTTTTCTATTTAGAAATTTAATTTTTACATAGTGAAGTTTGTACAATTTAAATAATTAATAGTGTGATTAGTATTTTATATTTAAATATTGATTTAAAAATGTCTTTTTTTTTTACTTTTCTAATAACTCTTCCTCTATCCTATTATTTGGGTTTTCTCTTATAATCAAAAATTTGTTAAAAATTAATAAATTTTGATATAAATAGTTTAAAAGTTGAAAAATTTAGTTTATACGTGCGTTCTTTAATTCCTTTGTTTAACATCGCAATAGAAGATTATATGAAAAATGGACAAGGAGTTACTTTTGAAAATGTTTACGCAAACCATTTAATGAAATGTAATTAAGAGATATGTTTTTGTTTTAAATTTAAAAATTCTCAAAACAACCAAAATATTTAATAAATTAATGGGCATAAATATCGGAAATAATTCCTTATTGAATATTTAAACAATTTATTCTAAAAATACTTAACACATAATTAAAAAGAAGGTATTCTTTTAGAAATAAGAGCTCTGTATATGAGTTTTCTTACGTAAATAGCTAATAATCCTGCTAAATCGTTTACCCAAATATTTTATATTAAATAATTTGTGAATGAAAAATCTTCGTTATAAACCCAATAAATTGTCTATATTTTACTAAATTAAACATATAATAAATTCAAAATTTTTTTCGATTAACATGAAT